CCTGGGGCTCCCGAGAGCACCCATCTACGTCCCTGACACCTGGGCGGTCGATGAAGTGTGCTCTACCTCACTATTACGGAGAGTGTTAACGTACACTCAAAGCTTTCATACACCGCGCCCTGGGGTAGCGTTACGATGTAATGTTGGTAAAACCGTGCACCGGCAAATATTATCCAAGAAATAAAGCCCAGGCATTGTTTATATTTAAATCTCAGTTTTAGAAAACAAGATCACACGTCTAAGAATATAGGATTGGTAACATATTGACGAAATCCTCTTAAAACATGTCCTTAGACGGCACGCTAGTAATACACTAAAAAGTAGAAAATATTTTCACAGGCTATCATATCAGTATCATCAGCGATATATGGAGAGCTTGATACGGACTTTTGTTGAAATGAAAAATAACAAAATAAAGGCATATTCGAATGTAGAAAAACAATTTTAATTATGCAAACGGAAAAGAGTTTATAGTTGTGACAAGAACGCGATAAACAATGACGTCACAAATGTTTACACTTAGGAAAGAACACAAAACTAATGGCGTCATCTTCCGATTTTAGAATATACAGAAAGGAACTATTTCATTCAAATTTGATTTAGAACTAAGTACGCTATGAAATGTATACAATACAATTTTCTCGGCCTAAACTTATGAAATTTGCTTTATCTATTTGGATTTTAGATCTAAATAGCTGAATCTAGATCTAGATTAAAAACTTTTTAGCGCAATTTCCATACGGACAATTGCGATTATTAACTCGTCATTTCTGGATGGATGGATGAATGAATGAATGGATGGATGGATGTGTGTCCGCAGCTTTAAGTCGTATCTCCTCCTCAACGAAGCAATATCGAGGACTAGTTCCAAAAGCAAATATGTTAAGCAAGTTCCGAGGATGATTGTGGGCCAAAAAATTCCCAAAATTCCTTCCTGGATTTCCCGGAAAAGCCAAAAAACCTCGAAAAAATGCAGTTTTTTGCCCATATCTCAGCAACCAGACCACTAGGCCTAGGATGATATTTTAAATTTAAACTGAGCATCATGTAGGTTTTTAGCGCAAAAAAATATCCTTTCGTTCGGTCACAAAAAATAAAAAATTGTTATGGATAACATAAGGAAATTGCGCTTAAATTGTCACTAGACTTTTATTAACTTGTTTCTTCCTTCGACAGCTGATCTGTAGATCTAGAGAAATGTATTGTAAAACTAAAATGAAAAAGACAGCTGAAAATTGATATAAGTGTTGGAACGTAATAAATACAGCAAACGGACGTATTGTTAAATTTATAGCCGACAGAAAATTAGCTTTAGAACGCGTTAAACATTGGAATGCGAACACAATCTTCTTCGATAGAAGCCGTCATTGTTGATATAAAAAGTAAACAAATCATGTGAAGTCACTATTCAGTCAAAGTAAAGCCACTGTTTGAAACTTTTAGAATTAAGGTGGTTAATCCAGAGGCGAAGCGAGGGGGGGGGGGGGCGGTGGTGCGGACCGCACCGGGTGACACCATTTGGGGGGGGGGGTGACACCAAGGCAAAAAATAGCAAAATATATATAGAGAAAAATGATAATTCCACTTAACTAAGTGATTAATTCGAATGTTAAATGGTCTTTTAAGAGGTGCAAATCGTAAGTTTGAGGGGGGGGGGTGCAAATCGAGTTTAGGGGGGGGGGGGTGCAAATCGAAAATTGAAAGTAGTTTGTCCCCGGGAAGGGTCGCTACGCCTCTGGGGAGAGGGGGTGACACCATTAAGTGCCGCACCGGGTGACACCCGACCTCGCTACGCCACTGGGTTAATCTACCAATGAATAAATCAATAAATTAATTAACGTCTTTAAATAAATTTGTGATTAAAAGTCTGTCTGAAAACAAAAATTGTTCTCTACCTACATACTATTTTAAAGCTCTACACATATTGCAGATTCTCTTCAGAAGCAAATCAGACAAGCAAATAAATATTCAAACATGTAAACAAAGTTGAGTTTTAGTAGTATTAAGATATTTCTTCGGGCATTTCTATCGTTGCTTACCCTTTCACATGCGAACGAAATTGTAAAAAGTAATTCATTAAAAATATATAGAAAAACCGGTATCCGCTACCCACAGCCCCCCCCCTCCCAACGCACACACATCCCCCACACCCTCCTCCGCACAGTATTAAATGCCGCTCCCCGGAGATAAATATCTAAAAGAAAAACCGGGTAGCCTATTTGTCAGAGAGAAGAGAGCTCAAAGTCACCAGAATTGCCCGTGTAACGGGTACCCATGGCTAGGTTAAAAATTAGTGAGTTATTATATATTTAATGAAAATAATTTATTACAAGCTTTTATTTAACCCACTTCCTCTGTCTGTCGACATTCTGTCGACAGTCTGTCTCCAGTCTAGATCGAAACGCTCGAGCGAAAATTCGGACACTTCTAACTGACAGATTCAGTTCACAGTTGGCACGTGGGACAAGACATCAAGACAATGCAATCTGAAATTAAATTTGACTTAATTGGATGCCTAATTAATTTTTTATGAATTAATTAAAATTTGGACCAAATTAGTAGGCATTTCTATCCAACTACACCACACGCGTCATCACGTTCAATATCGCGTCATCACTTTCAATAGGCGCGAAATGGTTTTTAGTCATGAAACTCTATTGTAAATAAAAACATGTAAAGTACTTTAAAAAATTTCATAAAAAAACGTTTTAATAACAAGCTTTTATGTACTAATGCACTAAATAGTAGAAAATAAATTATAGACTACTATTTAAATAACTGTAAAGAAAAGCGTGGGTCTCTTCCTAAACATTAGTAAAGGCATCCAATAGATACTAAAGTGACCCACGCTTTTCTTTATAGTTATACTAGCGTACCCGTGCCCGCGCGTTGCCGCAGGGATAGAAGGAGAGTTTCATCCATACGTTACCAAGTTACCAATCCTATATTCTTAGACGCGTAACTTTGTTTTCTAAAAGTGAGTTATTTAAATGTAAACAGTGCCTGCGCTTGGATCATAAATACTGGGACACGGGTTTACCTACACTACCGCGTGAAATCCTTATGTGTACATTAATCACTCACCGAAATAATCAGGTAGAACACACTTCGGTTACCACTCATGTGTCAGCGACGTAGAAGGGCGCTCTCATGAGCAACTCCCCTCGATTACACTACCGCATAGGCGCCACGTACGGCCCCTGGCTCCTTAAAACTAACAGGAGCCATCGTGCCAAATAGCATCATGTTAATAATGATGCAGACTTCGTCATTCGCTAAAGTGACACAAATGAACAGGATTTTTTTCTTTAAGACGTAAACAAATTATTTGACGTGTTTTAAATATCAGTGTGACTGATGCAATGTGCTAGCGTTACTAATAGTCTATTATTAGATGCTCGTTCTCAATTTCTGACTGGATTGTCTAATAATAGATGCTTATTGCATCATTCGCAAAGTGACGAAACTCTACAGTAGGCTCCTCATATTCAAAAAGTTATTTTTTCATCTTTCGCAAGGTGACGAAACGGTACAAAAGGATTTCCTCGCGTTACAAAGTTATTTTTAGAAGCCTGTTGTAGTTTTACCGCTGAATATAGTAGTACCCCTTACTCGCTATGCAGAACGCTCGATTAACGGATGCCAAGTGCCAACTTAGTCGCTCTAAAACTCTGGGCGCCGAACCGTGTATTGACGAAAGTTGTACCCTATATGGCGCCGCCCGTAAGAAACTTTAGTTTTCTTTTTCGCAGAAATATTCTCGGGTGTATTCTCATCTACTCCCTTAAATTTCATGGCACTCGGATGAACCGCATCCGAGTTTTATTTTTTATATGCCGTGTATAGAGAAAAAAAATCGCTCCCCCCGGGGGCGCCGCCCTTGCAATATTAAACAATATTTTTTTGCATAACCCTTCCATCGAGTGATCTAATCATCTCCCCAAACTTTCATGGTACACGGATGAACGGTGTGAACCCGAAATTTTATAAACCAAATATAGAGAAAAATCGAAGCCGCCAGTGGCGCCGCCCTTGCGAAATTAAAAAAGGATTTTTTTTTTACAGAACCCTTCCCTGAATTGTTCTAATCAACTCCCCCAAAGTCTCATGGCTATCGGATAACGGTGTCACACCAAAATCGACTTATTTTTATAAACCGTATATATAGAAAAATCGCAACCTCCCGTGGCGCCGCCCTTTTGAAATTAAAAATGATTTTTTACAGAACCCTTCCCTAGATTTTTATAATGAACTCCCCAAAGTTTTATGCCTATCGGATAAACGGTGTCACTGCAATTCACTTTTATTATTTTTATATACCGTAAATAGAGAAAAATCGGACCCTATCGTGGCGCCGCCCTTGCGAAATTAAAAATTATTTTTTTACAGAACCATTCCCTAGAGTGGTATAATGAACTCCCCAAAGTCTCATGGCTATCGGATGAACGATGCCAAACCAAAATCGACTTTTATTTTTATATACCGTATATAGAAAAAAAACAAATCGCACCCTGCCGGGGCGCCACTCCGGCGAATTTGAATTTTTTTTTCCACAGAAACCTCCCCAGGAATATTCTCAACAACTTCCCAAAGTTTCACGGCGATGTGATGAGAGGTGTAGTAATGCATAAAGGACAAACACACAGACACACAGGCATACGTGTACATTGCTTTTTATATAGATCTATATAGGTAGATTGATGGAAAAAAATTGAATCCCCCTCCCCCCATGAGACGATCCTGGCTACGCCACTGTGTAGACTAGATCTAGATCCATTTAATTTAAGTTTAAAGAAAATAATTTATTTTCTAGTCTATTTTTAGAGCATATATAAAAAATATATAAAAGCTTGTTAATAACACTTTAAAAAAAAAATTTTAACGTTCGTCATTAGGATAGCATTTAAAAATTTCTGCTTGTATGACACTGAATCTACTTGAAGGACACTGTTGCGCCACGTTTATCCGTTTTAGAAAAGATGTACAACTCTGTTTGTTTGACGTGTTAACCGGAAATAAAATATATAATCTAGATCTAGTCTCGATCTAGATCTGTCATCGAGAACCCTTGCACTAATGAATTAAGTCTAAGTTCAACATTTCAATACTTAACAACTGTATAAAGAGCCTGGAACTAGATTTCTAGATATAATTTTCTAAAGGCTGATAGTTTGTCATGCTAACCAAATTTGAAACTAAGTCAGCCCGAGTGAAAGGTATTTTTAAACCTTTTCTTGCTCTTAACTAGATCTAGTCAATTCTAGTCGAGTCTTAACTCTTGTCTTGTCTTTGGACTTTTAGTCTTATTATAATATTATTGCTAGGCAAATTGGGAAATTTTTCCTAATTATCATAGAATGATGAAATGGACACAGATTAATCCTATAATATACCCCATTGATAAAAATACCAAATTTATCATTCTAGGCCTATTAATAGTTTTTTTTATATGAATTTTCGGTAAAAATTTAGAGAAAACCCTTGATATTTCATAGTATCCGCCGCCAACCAATCAAACGCGCACTTTCAACGCGTTTTGGTTGGCGGATGACGTCACGATGACGTCACGCGACCCGTAAACACAGCGTTTTTGGAGCTAAAAAGGGCCAAAAAAGCCATTTTTTTCTACGTGTAGTTCGGATTTTTTTACGTTTTTTAAAATGGGCCCGAAAATGACACTTTTTAGAAATGGACATAGCCATTTTTTCGAAGAATTTATTAAAAAAAGGGCCGTTTTGAGCTATGTTTCGATGTAAACAAAGGCCCATGTCAGCACGTGTCAAACCACGTGAAGGCACCCGATCGACGATTTCGGTCACGCATGAGTGGTTTTCGTACGTTCTCGTAAACTAAATACCAGTTTCTTGACAACAAATTGGAAAGCGACAATTTCGTGAAAATAACGACCCTAGAGGAATGTCTTTTGAAGATTATTAAATAAAAATCGATGCATTGGCTACATGTGTTGATTCTAAAGTTGTCTATAATTGACTAGTAGGGCATGCTGAAACAACGGCCTTAGGGCGCCGTGTAGTGTGTAGTTTCGCTAAATGTATATTAATCAGCCCGGCCGCAGATCGACCGCAAACTGTTAAATTTGTTGAATGTGAAAAGCATACTACTTACAAATTACTTTTGAATATTCACATCACACAAAATAATCCCAAAGAAAGCACAAAATAAAATCCGTTAGAAAAGCATCACCATGAAATTTGAAAACCACAGTATGTCAACCAGCCATCTTGGGCTCGATCTAGAGGTCATTCATTAGCCTACACATGTGCCTTGCCAACAAAATTAGTTTCTGATGGTACACGAGATTTAGATCAATATATTAATTAACAAACTAACTGAATTCCAACATTCTATCACTATAATCCTAAAATGAAACAGAATTTGAAGCACAATGATCTACGAATAAATCCCACTCTAAGTAAGTGTCGCAGCTTTAATCCTGGATACAACCGTAGTGTGTAGTCGTGTTGTGAGTAAACTTGCACGAGATAAAACACCGACCTAGACCTTCCTGATGCTGTGTATGGCCCCAAAGTTAAATGCTGGGAGTAGGGGAGGGGAATTTAACACCAGAATAGATTTTTTTTTCAATAGTTGGGTCACCAGTAGTTCACGCATCCTAACGGGGTTGAAAGTGTAACTTGAACTAGGCAAAAGGTGGAGGGGTGGTGTCATTTAAACGACGGAGCTATATTTCTAGTCGAAGAATATGGGGAACCCGGCATTTGAAGCCGGCATTTCATTATTGTCATTGCTATTGAGTACAACCCTTTATTCTAGTTTAATGCACGACTAGGCTACTCATTAAGTCATTACTAAATCTAAAAAATGTCGTTGTGCTACTATGCAAAAGTAGCCTAATATTTCTACTGAATTGGGTAGGTATTTGACTTTGTTTATTGAAATGCAGATCCCATTAGCCTAAACATATTTGGATGCACATTTTTGTTATATCGTAAGGATTAATTTTATAATACAATGCATATATTCTGGCAGTCCTTCAAGTATTAGTAGTTATTGGACTATCCATAACTTGTATTTCAAAGATTTATAATGAGCGGGATGCACTCGATGTTTTAAGTGCTACATTCGGTAGCTGTTACTTTGTGCATGACAGCATCCCAATAGTTTACTGTTAATAATGTAGGCCTAAACTGAGCTTGACGAGACTCCCATCGCCAAGCAATCGTATGATGATAGACCCAGCAAGCATCACTCGACATCATGGCTATACCAGTCCTTGATTATTGTCATTACTGCCTCTAAACGCCTAGTTCTTGGTTAAAAAAAAAAGTCTCCCCCCCCCCCCTTCACGCTTGCGCCGACGTCATCATAGACCAATACCACGGTGCATTTTTTTTCAATGAGTATAACACACCCCCCTCTCCCCCTCACAGCAAGCGCCAACAACGGTCACCCAAGGCCCAAGGCCAATAACACGCACCACGGTGGATTTTTTTTACTGAGTATATGGTCTATAATATACCCTACCCACCAGCCGCCTTACAGCATACCGCTAGTCTTTACAAACAGGGTTAAAAGTTTAACTTTATTGAAACAACGATGTTCTTTAATATGTTTAATAGTACAAATACATAGTAAAAATTATACTTACCTACTTCTATAGCATCATACATAATTTTATAAATTAACAAATTAATTAACTAACTAATTAATTAATTAAATCTAATGATAATTTTGGTTAAGGCACGACACACAACACTATGCGTGCGTGGTATGTGGCCTGACCGACCGAAAGGAGATTGTTTATATTATTGTTTTGAGTTTATATTTAACTCAATGCAACAAGCCCGCCGGTTGGTTGAGGCCACGACGGGGAGACGTTCTGACCGGGATTCAAAGGGTCGATTCTAAATATTATCCGAATTTTCAAAGTTATGTGTTTAACTTTTAAATTTAACTTGTTATGTAGTAATATGTAGGCATTTCGACTTCCGTTGTTTCGATTCGGTACGACCACATCCGGACTTTTTCATCGTACTTGTTGAAATTCGCAATTTTTTAACATGTTAATTCTCGCCATCGGAATCAAAGAATAAAATGTATTCAATATGAATATTTGAGTTGAATTTCATCTTTTATACATACTAATAAATGAATTAGCTCCCGTTTTACATTGTCCGATACCGAAAGCGATCACAGATAATAGCAAATATTTCTCAAAATGCTGACGCTACCGAACTGGCGCATTGACAACTAAATTTCAGATATAAATAATCCTCTAAATTGTATGAAAATAGGCTTAAATAGCATTCCAACCATTTGGATAAATAGAAATGTCGATTTGAAGGGTTTTGAAGGGTTTTTAAGCACGGGCCAATGAGGAGTAGCGCGATAAAACTCGTAGGGGTAGGAACGAGAAAGCGTGCGTAATTTCATAATGGCGGCCGGGTTACGAGATATTAATAGATATGCACATACAATGTTTTTAAATAGCTGTTTGTTTTTAAATGGACTGTTACAATAAAATGGGCTTTAAAATAAATATACTGTAGATCTAAATTATTAAATTAAAAATGGAAAGAATGTAATTAGGCCTAATTGCTGCCTAAATAAATTATTAAATTTTAAAATTTTAAATTAGCCAGATTTTTATTAACCTTCTTAATACCAGGTTAACTAGATCTAGCAAACTAGCATTATTAACGAATTGCAGATAAATAGATTATAAAGGCATTTTCAAGTAGAAAAAATCTATATTTATTGTAAACAGTTTTTAAAAAAATAGAATCTAGATCTAGATCTAAATGGAAATGAAAACACTAAAATAATAATGGGTCTAGAGATGTGTAATAATCAGGGATGTGACCAGACCAGGAAAAAAAATTAGGAAATTTTTTTCGGATAATAACTCAATATGCTTTATCTACTTTTTATCGCGGTTAAGCAGCTTCATACTGTTACTGTACTAATAAATTGTTTTATGAAGTTAATATTCTAAATACAAGAAGTTAATGTTACTCTAAAATAACATTGAAAGTCTTGTCTAATTGCAATTTAATGTTTACCTAATAAACAACTTTTTAAAAATTACAATGTTACAAAAGTAGCTATTAAGTTTTATTTTACCATTAAGCTAATTTAAACTGTAGGCCTACTAATCTGGTGTAGATTCTAGATATACTCCTGTTTTCAATTTTAAATAGGGGCCTAATACCCTATATTCTTTTAAAGATTGGATTGGTAAAAATATTTGTCTTCAACTGTAAAGAGCCTAGATTAAGATTAGTTATAATATGAACGTTTTAGGTTCATGTGATGGAAAAATGAAATGGACCAGGTTAGCTAAGATTAGAAATGGTCTGATGTGTGAACCAAAGTTAATCATTTTGATAGCCAAGCCACATCGATATTTATGTTTTTTTGGAATAGCTGTAAATTGTTAGGGGTCATCCACGTTTTTTTGACGATATTTACCTCCCCTCTATCCTACAAAATCCAGACCCCCCCCCCCTATAATGACGTCACACCTCAGCCCCCCCCCCCCCTCGAATTGAATTTGAATTTTTTTTTTAAACATCGATTTTTTTCTAAAATATTGACTGAGGTCGACCAACATAGGGTATCTTATTCAATTTCTATGTTTTACAACAGTTTTCTAAAACTCGTAATAGCGGCTAAAATGCAGTTGTTTCTAACATTACTTTTTTTTAATGCAAAAATATGACGTTACACTATCTTACAAGTGTGACGTTATTTATGGAAGACCCCTTATTAAAAATTTAAAAAACAGCCTGTACGTATTTTTTCTTCCACAAACAAGACACGGTCGTTTTTACGTTGAGTTTAGGATTTTTTTAAAATCTGTAGGCCTACGAAGCATACGTATTGCAGGAACAGCTATTTGAAATTGACTGTGACGTCATTTTTTTTCCCCACAAGCAGTACCGAACACGTACTTGGGGTCAAGGTGAGGTCACATGAGACGCCGTTAGTACGAGGTGGGGCGGGTTAGTAAGGATTTTAGCAAGGATTTCCATATTAATTTGAGATTGCAAAATAAAATAGAATCAGAGAGAAACTGTAGATTTAGGCGGGTTAAAATACCGATAGATAAATTAGGCTATATCGATAGCTAGATTACCAAGCTTAAGAGATGTAAGTTTCATTTGAATAACTGCATTATTTTAGATTACCCTTTCCCGTGTTTTTGATAAATAGTTAACTAAAAATATCAGCG